TGCCCCTCAGAACCATCAGCAGGATACCCACACCAGCTCCAGCCAGTGTACATGCAAGTGCTTTCTAAGCCCTAGGGCCCAGATATACAGCTGTCCCTCTGGTGACCACCGGGCGGGGACATCATGGGAACAGGGATCTTGTATCACTCCCCGCCCCCACTGGTCTCCACAGAACAGGAATTCCGCCTTTTCTATGTATGAGCTGTCCCTCTGGTGACCACCGGGCGGGGACATCATGGGAACAGGGATCTTGTATCACTCCTCGCCCCCACTGGTCTCCACAGAACAGGAATTCCGCCTTTTCTATGTATGCAATCGTGTAGAGGTTATCTATTCTGAAGGGAGGGTTAATAGTGGGGTCAGAGAACAGGGAGTTAATCTGGGGACTGACTGCTGAAAAGGGAGAGCAGGGAGGAGGACTTGGAAGGAAAGGGCAGATCATGCACAGGTATCAGAGGAGGGGTGACTTGTAGAAGCCAGGGCTTGCCCGTAGAGGCTGCTCCAGTGACTGGTGTGTGACCTGGGGGTGGAGGGGATACCATATTCACCTATGGAGGCCACAGCTCCACCCCAAATGCTCAGGCAGAAAAGGCAGGCAAGCTCTCTAGGAGATTCTGAGGCCCTGCCAGAGCCAAGGTGAACATGTAGGTGCCAGTGTGGCCATGTATGTGACAGACTCTATCCCCTCCTCAGGCCACATACCTGGACACTCCTAGAGCTGTGACCATAGTGAGCACCCCAGGCTGGGCAGAACCAGAAGGGTCCCAGGAGCTTACCTGACATTCTAAAGGGCATGAAGATCTTCTCGTTGGTGTCCGGATGTAGAATAGCCTGGCAAGAGCCGGGAACAGCACAGTGTGACAGGAGGGAGGAAGGAGGGAAGGGGGAGGGGGGAGGGGGACAAGCAGAGGCATTAGGGAAGGAAGGAGGGAAAGGAGTTTCCCCAGGAAGACTCAGACATCAGTGGCTGTATGTTGCCTTCTAGCTGGTTAGTCCTTTCCAACATTCAGGGCAAGAGAAAACCAAAATATGGGCCATAAACAGCACTCCTCCTCCAGACTAATGCTCAAAGCTGATTGCAGGGGAGATTGAAAGCCCATGAGGGCCAGGACCTTGCAGGCTGTCAATCGCCTGTAGGCACCTAGTAGGCACATAATAAGGATTTGAGGATGGAGCCTAGTCCCCTCCTGGAGCTCAGAGAGCCCAGGGAAAAGCCAGTTTTTCCTGAGCTCCTGGCTTCAGAAACTCAAGCCCCTGGGTGCTGGGGCAGAAGGAAGGGGTGAGGTGGCCAGGGGCAAATGGGAGGGGAGAAGCAGGGCTCGAAGTAGCCATGGGAGGAGGGGCTTCTGCTAGATCCCAGGACAGGGTGTGGTGGGGTCTAGGAGAGCACTGAGAAGGAAGGAAAAAGAACCCAAAACTGGATTACCTGCTTGATTTTCTGTGCACTCCAAAGCTGGAAGAAAGAGAGAGAGAGAAAGGAAAAGAAAATAAAGAACAAAAATTAAAAACACATATCAGTTTAAGGTCTCGAAGCCATATTTTCTAACTAAGGGATCTAGCTCCAAAAGCCTAAAAGGCTCAGGCTGTCCTTATCACCCCAGGCTGGGCAGACACCCTACCCTGGGGTGTGGCATCAGAGGGTAAAGAGACTATAGACCCCAGGATGGCAGAGCTAGGGGATCTCATGCTGATCATTCAAACTAGGAGTTCTTGACTGTGGCTGCACTTTAGAATTCCTTAAAGAATTCTTTCATCATTTTTCTAAAGCTCCCTAGTGGATTCTGAGTTATGACCGGGTAAGAACCTCTGATTTTTTTTTTTTTTTTTTTTTTTAAAGATGACCAGTAAGGGGATCTTAACCCTTGACTTGGTGTTGTCAGCACCAAGCTCAACCAGTGAGAGAACCGGCCATCCCTATATGGGATCCGAACCCGGGGCCTTGGTGTTATCAGCACCGCACTCTCCCGAGTGAGCCACGGGCCGGCCCGAACCTCTGATTTTTTTTTTTTTTTAAAGATGACCAGTAAGGGGATCTTAACCCTTGACTTGGTGTTGTCAGCACCAAGCTCAACCAGTGAGAGAACCGGCCATCCCTATATGGGATCCGAACCCGGGGCCTTGGTGTTATCAGCACCGCACTCTCCCGAGTGAGCCACGGGCCGGCCCGAACCTCTGATTTTTTTTTTTTTTTAAAGATGACCAGTAAGGGGATCTTAACCCTTGACTTGGTGTTGTCAGCACCAAGCTCAACCAGTGAGAGAACCGGCCATCCCTATATGGGATCCGAACCCGGGGCCTTGGTGTTATCAGCACCGCACTCTCCCGAGTGAGCCACGGGCCGGCCCGAACCTCTGATTTTTTTTTTGGCAGCTGGCCAGTATGGGGATCCAAACTCAGGAACTTGGTGTTATAAGGCTGCGCCCTAACCAACTGAGCTAACCAGCCAGCCCATGAACCCCTCAGTGGTCTCCCAGAATCACTTGTGGGAGCACAGCATGATTTTGTTCAGAGATAGATTGCTTAGATTCCTGGCTTTGTCACTTCTGCCTCTGAGGCTCAGTTTCCTCATCTGCAAAATGGGGATAATAGCCATGCCTCTAACACAGAATTGTTATGAAAAGTTGAAAAAAAATTTGAAAAGTTGTTGGAGCAGCGTCAGCACCTAGTAGGTGCTTTATAAATGCTTACTGTTGTTGATATTATTGTTCCTATTGTTATTATAAGAAGGTTGTAGGGAGAAAAAAAGGTCTTTCTAAAGTGATGAGTTTGTCTCTTTCCAGCACAATGTGGAGGACAGGATGAAAAAAAAGAATAATTTGCCACTCCTGTCAAATTATATAAATACCGTACTTCACTGAATTTAAGACATCATTGATCCTAAGACACTGTTATGTGCCACATAAGAAAGAAAACTACGACATAATGCTGAGACCTCCATCAATTAAAAGACTCATCTCATTTTAGAGATGTCAAAATGTGATAAGATGGACCTTTTCAAATCAAAGGAACATGGTAAATAAAAACTGATATTGTGGGCAAACCAAAGGCCAGTACATTTTTCTTTTTTTTTTTGTCTTTTGTCTTTTTCCGTGTCCGGCAACGGATCGCAACCCTCAGTGTTGCCCCCGTACCGGACCGGGGACCGGCAACGGGATCGCAACCCTCGGTGCCGCTCCCGCGCCTCGCTCAGCCAGTGAGCGGGAACCG